ACTGTCCTGATTAGGCAAGGCGTTAGCTATAGAGCACTCCACGTTTAACACCCAGGTTGAGCTGATGTGTTACAACTTTGGTGTTACATTCATGGAGGCTAACACGTGTGTTGGCAGAAGGGATCTGGCCCGTGATGGAGTGCACTTCACTCTTCAGCAGCCGACGAGCTGTTTCTCGCCTCGGACATTTGTTCATGGTTGTGATTGGGACCCTTTTGCAGTCTCAGAATGACCCACAAGTCTCTGGTCAGGGTGATTTCAACTTAATGCCTACCTCACCCCACACAACACAAGAAGATCCTTGGATGCCCACCCCACCCCACACAACACAAGAAAGATCCTTTGAATGTCTTGGGGATATCCCAGCGGGACATTTAACTTATGGACCTCTTAACTTACCGGTACCTCTGAGCTATCTGTGATTGTTGATATTACAAGTTTTCAAGCGATTAAAGAGGAGCCGACAGCTGCAATGGTCGCAATACTTAAGGGGAGTCGCTACTAAAAAATTACTAATTTTGTAAAAAACATGATTTTTTTATTATTTTTTTATCTTGTTCTATGGATTGTAAGGTTTCAGAAAAACATAACATTTGGTATAATATATATTTTTATCACTGTGAAAAAAATATTTGAAGTGAAGCGTGCACACCTCTTTTGGGGCATCAACTAGGCCTAGTACCATAAACTTCAACCGCTGTTTTCCGCGACTTGAAATTTTTTTTTTATATATAAGTTCTTATAACTTTTTAACTATTACAGCTATGAATCAAATTTTTAACACACATTGTTTATACTATAAATCAACTTTCTGTGCATGGATATTGTAATCTATCTTCTATACAAGGTGACAAAAAGTCGGGAAACGGCTTAATATCTTTTTAACTAAACCCGTTAGAAAAGTCAAACTTTTCACAACAACTTACATGTATAAAAAATACTTTTTCCAAGCATTTTCATGTTTTTACCTCCACCAGGGGACGACCTATGAGGAGTAGGTACATGATCTTCAATGTAAGCATAGGTTGATATGCACATCATTTTTAAGGTCTGGTCAAGTGGGGTTCATTACCGGAAACCGCATCTCAAAAGGTTCATTCGTTACAAAATGGCGGCATTTCAAAGTTCTTGTGGAATATACCTTTACAGGCCTTAATATTGCTAAATACTCGTATTAAACATTATCTTGAGAGCAGAAACTGTATTTTAAAGTCAACTAGCCCATATACTAAGTTAATTCAATCTTCAAAACAAATTTAACCGGGTTTCAGATTTCCAGGCTAATTTTGACTATGAGTATTTACCATTACTAAGGCCTGTGCAGGTATATATCCCAGACAGCACGTGAGCTTGGACCAAACTTGGTTTTTACATATTTCTGAATTGGTATGACAAACTTGGAGTTTGGAACCCACTACAAATTTAAAACAGCTTTGGTTAAGTGAACTTGTGTGAATGAGCCAAAACTAAACTTGTTTTATTTACATATATAACCTGGTTGGTCAAGTCCACAATTTAAACACCTAACCAGACCCACGACAAGCTTGTTCATGTGAGTCTAAAGTGAGCAGTGCCATATGACAAAAGAGTTTTCCCTCCACCCCTACCCAGAACGCTCCTAAAACCTGTTTCTTTGTGCTGAACCACCATTTTTGTTGGATTTAGACTTCCTCACTCTCAGTTGTCAGTTCTCACTTATCTAGTTCTGGTGTTGTGAGTTACTCGTTTCGTTACTAGTTGTGAGTTTTGTTTATGGTTTTGATACCAAGACGAAGCAAAGAAGAATTAAGGGATTCCTGTAAAGGTAAGATTTAAACTCCATTGATAAAAAATATACTTGTGTTGGTTAGTCTATGATGATATAAGTAAGCTAAGTTAAGCAAACAATTAATTTCATTGCATCAAGAACCCGTAGAATTTTGTTTATAGCCTAAACCGTTTGTGCTTTAACCTTTGACATACTCAGCGCTTCACTGAATCGACAACGTCACTCACTACACTATACTCTAATAGTCTACTGCTGAACTCAACAGAACAGTGCCAAAATTTGTGTTTAACCTTAACCATTATAGTCAATGCCTTAACCTAGTCTACAGAAAAAACAGGCCAAACCATTAGTTTACGTATAAAAGTAAAATAGTAAGAAATAAAAGTTTGATAACAATTTTAAAAACAAAGGTAAGTTAACACCCTGTGTTTGCAACACCAACAAATTCCAAATAATCAAATAATTATAATAACAAATGAAAATAATGAAAAATGATTTAAATGATAAATTTTAATAAACCAAATAATTCTAATGCAATTGTATTTTTTATAGATCTTCTGAAGCAGGCGGTGGAGTTGATGGGTTCAGAAAAGAAGTTGAAGGTCAAGTGGAAGATAGTGGGCATTGTATTTATTATATTAATAAATTGTCTTGAAATGTGAATGTCTTGCTTTCTAAACCTCATATATAACCAATATTTTTTCAAGATCACTCATAAAATAGGCTTCATTTTATCATAAATCTTTCTTGGTAAAAAATTAATTATAAGAAAAAATGTGGGCTAGCAAATGAATGGTGTGAAACAGCTTATATGTTAAATAGGTATAAATTATATTACTATTGCTATAGCATATTATAATAATAATAATAATTATTATTATTATTATCTCTGATCATGACAGTAATTGAAGTATATAAAACTTCGTACCAAATTCTGAGTGAGTCTATAGGTGTGAGTTTGTTTGCCCAAGTCTAAAATGTGCTAAAACCAATTCCAATATGAGTCTAGGCCAAGTCCAATATGAGTCTACTAAAAGCGGGCTTGGGTCTCCAAGTCCATAATGAGCCTGTTTAATTTATCAGTGTGAGCTTGTTTGCCCAAGTCTAAAATGTGCTAAAACCAATTCCAATGTGAGTCTAAGCCAAGTCCAATATGAGCCTACTAAAATTGGGCTTGGGTCTCCAAGTCCCGAACAAGTCCATAATGAGCCTGCTTAATCCACCAGACCCGTTTTGTATCCATCATTCCAAGCTTAGAGTGGGTTTGTGCCCATGAGTTCACTGTAGGTTTGGGGTTGGGACTTGGGTTGGACTTGGGGAGCCAAACCCATAACAAGTTGAACAACTGCCAACTTCGGTCTCTAAAACAAGTCAAAACCAAGCCTACAGACTTTGGTCCCTGAGTCTAAACCAGGCTTGGGAACTTGGGCCAATGGACTTGGAACAAGTTCCCAGCAAGCCCATTGTGCTGTTGGGGATAGCGCGCGGCAGTCAGAGTGTTGTCACTATGTCGGGAAACTAGTCGGAGAGGGAGGTGCTGTGGACAATGTTAATTAGTCACACTAACCAAACACGCTCTTGAACACCGCGGGATCCCTGAAATGTGTGAACTTGTCCTTGATTCAAATGTTGACATTTTTTGTGTGACTATGAGACCTAGCTTCACCCTACACTCCCTCAGACAGAGACAACCACGAACCACACTATACCAGACCAGGATACATTTTGTTGCACTCTGATTGCCACCACATTTCTGGCCTATTTGAGGAGGAGGAAGCCGGTGGTGGCATTGCTTTACACATCAGAGAAGGAAAATGACCAACATGTTTTCCAGTCGACCTTGACCTCCACCTGGTATAGAATCACTTTCTGTTGTCATAAGGCTAAAAAGCCAAGCGACTGGGTCTTTGTGTAGTATACAGGCCTCCAAATGTACGATACACTAACCTTGCTTCTTTGTTTCACTCTTTCTTTCTTTCTCTATTTGTTGACTTAGCAGTTGAAGTAAACTCTGTGAACTGTCTAGATGACACGAACTTTTATTATTTATTATTAATGTTTATTATTTATGAACATAAGTTAATTAAAATATGTGAAATAAAACATAAAGAATTGTCAATCAAAACAATATTAAAATTTAAAATTTATTTTTGTACATTTAAAGTGGAGTGTATATTTTCATAGCTCAGTAACCAAGCTTTCGTATTCTTAAAAAATACACAAATAAATACCATTAGCTGCCTCCAAACAAAACAGCTGTTACAACACTACTTGCAATGTTGCTACTTCTAAGAAACAACACTACTGACAGTGTTGCCATTTCCAGTTGCCTGCAATTGAAGGTGGCCGTAGGCACGGCCGCCTTTAACTCCAGGCCGCGGCCTTCGAACTGGCAACGTCGCAAGTGGTGTTGTAACAGCTGATTTTTGGAAGCAACTAATGGTATTTGTGTATTATTTAGGCTACGAAAGATTGATTACTGGACCATGACAATATTGACTCCGCTTAAAAATGTACAGATATAGATTTTAATTCATATTGTTTCAATTTTCAATTATGTATGTTTTATTTTTAATATTTTAATAGATTTATGTTCATAAATTAAAAATTAAATCAATAAAGTGCGAATTAATGAGCTGATGTCACCTGTCTGCCATAGTGCCATGTTATCTTATGGGACGTCTGTCACTGAACAACACCACTTGCGATGTTGCCAATTCTACCAGGGGCCCATTTCATAATAAACTACAAGTTACAAGTTACAACTTGTAACTTGTAATTTCCATTAGATTTGCATTGGGCGATCGGCTGATTTACTAATAATATTAGTTTGTACTTTATTATGAAATGGGCCCCAGGTCGCGGCCTGTAGTTAAAGGCGGCCGTGCCGTAGGCCTATTTTGCAGTCTGGGACCTGGGACCTCAAAACGTAAAAGTTAATTGGTTTCGGATCCAGGTCTTACCATGAGACCTTCGGTAATACCTTATTACTTATATGGAAAATTCGCTAAATAAAACTTCTATGATAAAACATACTCCCTTTTTTTTAGCTTATTCACGATATGGGAGATTTGACATAAGCCAGCAAGTATTTTGTTTTGCTATTCTTGACAGCTTCATGATTCAAAGGCTTCCTTAGACCCGTTAGGGTGTTCCCAACCTTCAACTAGTCAGCTGTGTTGTGTAAACAAACAAAACACAGACTCCAAACAAAACATAACCTATGCCAAATTGCCAAATGCGTTTTTAGTTACAAATCTTAAACAGTGTCCTTTGTGATTGTGATTCTGTGAATATTTCATATTGTTGCTCAGAACAAACCATTTCTTCAGTAAGTATTGCCTTTTGGATAATAACTTAAAACTTATTTCTTTTAATCCATTAAGTGATTGAATACTAGCCTAGGTTAAGTTTACATTGCACCCATCCATGGTCATTGTTTATTATCTTAGTGTTGGGTAGTGTTTTATATTTATAATTGGTTAACTTATTAGGCTATTTGGATAAAAGGCTATTTTTGAAATCTTGTTGGCCGACTTGCATGGAAGTACATGAAAAATTTGTTACATGACATTTGTTTGATGATTGGGACATTTAATTTATCAGAAATCCATTTATCTAGAAATCCTCTCTGGCAGATAGTTAAATTCTTCTTGAGTGTTGCACCAGGCCTAAGTTAACCGGATTGGCCAGGATTGAAATACACCCTCAATCTCTTAAGACTGTCTCCTGACTGGGTAAATAACACCATAGAATCCTTCGTCCCTGATGAAACCTTATGGTCTACCCTACTAATGAAGCTAGCCAACCCAAACCCAAGCATAAGTTATAACCGTTTTTTAAAGTCTTTAACATGACTACAAAGTTGCAGCATACAGTACCAGTATGTCAGTAAAACCTTTTAGCCATTTTATATTGAGGAAGAATAGTGAACTAAAGAATAGTCAAGTTGACGTAATTTGTGACGTCACAGAAAGCAAAACAAAACATTTATTTAACAATACTGTATAACAACTGTTGCAAACAAATTAGCCAAATAAATACTAAAATGAGAAAGAGAATATACAGCCGTGGCGAAGTTGATGCTACATCAGGAATGCTCACACGAGCGACACATCTAGCTGAATGATGGTGACTAGCATTCCTCGTGGCCCGGCGACACCAATTCAGACAAGCGACAAGTCCACAGACTTGATCTCCGTGGCCGTACGCTCATGTGAACGGCTCCATTTCATCCTGTGGTCCACCTAGTCATGCGGACCTAGTCAAGCCTAGTCAGCTAGATGTGTCGCTCGTGTGAACCGTGTGTCAGCCCCCTGAGAAGACTGGAAGTCCAGGGAGCATAACAGAGCTTCTAGGTTCATCTATTAGGCAATAGTTATACAGTAGAATCTTTCTTTCCTTGTATAATCAATGTCCACAATGTTAAAATAAATGAACGTGCCACATTTTGTGCTAAATATTAGGCCTAAATATAGGTTAATTGTTTAATTCAGCTGTGTGAATTGTAAAATGAAATGCATTAGGCAGTTCTATTTGTTTACATTGCAATGCAAATGTAAACATTGTGAGTTTTCTCTATGAAGATGCCATGGAGACCAATCAATAGTTACTTTTTAAAAGCCTCGCCCAAGAACTTTGAAAGCCAATGGGTCAAAGCCCTTGGTCAGTATATACTCCTAGGATGGTAGGTAGCCTTTTTATTGTAAAATATAAGCCTAGTCGGTTCTGTTGTTTTTACGTGATTAAGTAAACTCACACACACACTTGAACACAGATCATCAGTTTTCATGTAATAGTATTATAGAGATAATACTACCTACATGTAAAGTTGTGTGTAAAGTTGAGACATGTGTTTTTAAAACCATTACATCCCTCAATCCTCGCTCTTGAGTACAGTAGACTCCCTCTTATCCGGTCTCCTCGGGACCGAGGCCAGTCCGGATAACGGTTTATCCGGTGAAGCCGACGTCCCCAAAAACTCATTAAAACGGATTTTTTAAATGCGTATTTGACTTAAATTTAGGAGAGCATTGTATTTAGACACGTGATCACTGGTCTCAAATCTTTCCCACGAGAACGGTCGTTTCAGTACCGCACACTTCCTCCCGATCTAGTCCGGTTAAACCGATGTGCTGATAAAAAATGTCCAGTTAAAGAGATGTCATTCTGAGTGTATTCCGGCTAAACCGATGTCCGGTTGGGGATTGCCCAACTCCGCGCAGTGGTCAAATTTAATCCGAGGAAAAGTTTTATGGCCCCCGAAGGGTTCAGCCCAACTCCGCGCGGTGGTCACTTTTAGTGTCAAGTCCAACTCCGCGCGGTGGTCACTTTTAGTGTCAAGTCCAACTCCGCGCAGTGGCCACTCCTAATATCTACGGTAGTTGTTTTGGTAAAGTTTTTACCAAAACAAAGGCTACAGCACATTTGCATGGACGTGAGTTGATGTTTCCAAAAATTTTGCTGCTGTTATTACAATAATACCCCCGCCACAGCAAAACTGCAGACTAAGCGAACTTCTATAATTGCCTGATTGCATTACCAGTAAAATATCTCTTTCAAAATATAGGCTACTATTTATTCCCTATTTAAATAGCATTAGTTTAATGAGTACACATAGGTTTGCTGCGAGAGGCAGGGTAGTAAGTGTTTTTGTTAAATGTCAATAGTTAAGTGTAAAGTAAATGCATTTCCAAATTTAATCAAAATACACTCCAGGAAATTACAACAATTTACTTATTCTCAATACGAATAACATGGAAATTATAAAATTAAAATTTGTCGGCATTTTTTCTGTAACTATTATGGCGCATAATAACACTTTGATATACTAAATTATTAGTCTTTAAGCTCTACAAATTGCTTTCAAAAGAAATTGCAAAAATTTATGCTTTTAGGGTCAAAGTTGGGAAAACTCGATTTTTTTCACCATAAACCCCCGTTTTCATGGTCCGATCGTGCAGGTTCGTGAACTCGTTCGAATAAATGTCGGTTTAACGTTCACCAAATTTATTTTTGCTCGAATCATCCTGCTAACGGACATATATACCGGGTGTCCAAAACCACCCGTACACCCCTTTCAAAACGATGGAAACCTTTTCTTACAAACAAAAAATAATACAGAACTAGCTAAATTCGGCACGGTCTACCAAATGGTGATAATTTCAAATCCAAAATCACACCGGAAGTGGCTTTTTCAGACCGGAAGTTGACTTTTTTAAATGTAAACTACCAATTATGATTACAGAATCGGATTCTACGTTGAAAAATACATAACTTTTGTCACAAACATTTTTGAAACACTTGTTTTCTACCTCTAATCCCCCATTAAAGTCAATAAATTTTGGTCATTCATGTGTAAAAGTTACTCGAAACAATAATACTGTAGATAAAAACTAATAACAAAGATTACATAAAGACATATGATTAATAGAATCAGCTGTTTATTTTAAACACCTTAGCAATTGAGTAACAGCTGGTCTACACATTGCTAAGTTTAATTTTTTTATAATTTATTGTTACATATGACTCCTTAAATGTAAAAACATAGGATTTATTTTTAAAATAAAATGAAATGAAGCAATGTGTAGACAAGCTTTAACTCAATTGCTAAGGTGTTTACAATGAACAGCTGATACTATTTATCACATGTCTTTATGTAATCTTTGTTATTTGTTTTTCTCTATTATTGTTTCAAGTAACTTTGACAGATGAATGACCAAAAATTATTGACTTTAATGGGGGATTAGAGGTAGAAAACAAGTTTTTCAAAAAATGTTTTAGACTAAACTTATGTATTTTTCAACGTAGAATCCGATTCTGCAATCAAAATTGGTAGTTTACATTTAAAACAGTCAACTTCCGGTCTAAAAAAGCCACTTCCGGTTTGATTTTGGATTTGAAATTATCACCATTTGGTAGACCGTGCCCAATTTAGCTAATTCTGTGTTATTTTTTGTTTGTAAGAAATGGTTTCCATCGTTTTGAAAGGGGTGTACGGGTGGTTTTAGACACCCGGTATATATATATATATATATCAAACATATATATGAATTCGAACGGATGATGTTTTCGGCCTTTGGGACATAAAAACGAACAATTAAATCAGTGGGTCCAGGTCTTACCATTATACCTACGGTAATAACTTATTTCCTATATTCGCTAAAACGTTGGTCTGGGTGTGGCTTCAATGAAAATCCTCTTCATCGACGTCAAATTCGCCATTTAATAAGACGAAAAAGAAATATTTTAGCTTATTATACAAGTAAAATTATAGATTCACAACTGGAGGTGAAACTTAAAAACCACTATGTAAGAAGTGTGGATACGTATGAAAGTTTCTGAAATTCACAGTTCACAATTATTTAATAATACATTTTATTAACGATTTCATGAGTTTTACGTTACACTTGTGTGCTGCGATCACGGATTTTACCTTTTTATGCAGCAAGACTTTTTAATGAATAACAAAACTTAATAATCTCTTCCAATAACATTTTTAACAAAGGAAACATTTTAAAATTATTTTTGTAATCAAATTTAAAGTATAAGATTGTTTTTGAGGTTTGCCAATAATGTGATTTAGTATTTCGGGAAAATTAATAAGATATTACTTACCGGTACTGTGATTTTTAAAATATTATTTACGATTGTAAAATGTTTTACTAAGGTTAATATTGCTTCGCATTTTAAAGCTTATAATTATTGTTTAACTATAATTTTAATTTATCATGGTTTGAAATAAGTGTAACTTTTGTAAATTTGTAAATATTTTACTTATTCAATTTTAGTAGGCTAATAATTTGTATTTTATTTTTAGTCCAGATATTTAAATGGATTGTCCTTTTTTTGGTTGTTTGTTTTGTAAATAATATAGGCCTACACGATGTTTATGTTAACGATGATTAATTTGATGTAAATCTGTGTTGTATGATTATTATTAATGTTTGATAAAAACCACCAATTTTGGCTCACTTGCCTTGGAATTTTGAACATTTTGTACGTAAAGTAATTAAATATAAAGTCAATTTTGAAGTCTGAAGTTTTATTAAAATTCCTATACTGCTTTAAGTATTGGTATAATTTTGTATTGCAAGTCATAAAAAACATAGAAGTTTGTCGGCCATTTTTTTTCCAATTTGAGGAGTGTAGTTAACTGTTGTATGAAACAGAGATTACAGCTAATTTGTTATAGCAATCTGCGGTTGTATACAAAACTAATATTTTTGAACTTGGTACTAAAGTTCAGAGAGCTCATAAGCCCAGTAATATGAATGATTGACTATTGTATAATTTGGAACGTATAAATTCACACGTCAGTCACTCATTCTC